ATTCCCCTAGAGGCTACTCCCGAGGCCCAGGTTAATATGGTTTTTGAGTATCCCGACGAGCCCTGTAGGCTTAAAGAGCACACAGTCATAGCTGCAGCTAGGGAATACGGTATAATGCCTAACTGCGATGTTAGATTCCCAGACCCCGAGGATAGGATTGTTCGAGCACGACGATGGGAGTTTGTTATTTTCAGGGAGACCCTTAAGGCTGGCTTTAGGTGGCCCCTTCACCCTTTCTTTATTGCTCTATTAGTCGAGCACTCCATGTGCCCGGGGCAGTTAGTGCCCAACGCCTGGAGAATGCTCGTTTATTTTTTTATAGCATGTAGATACTTAGGTATCGAGCCTAACATTAGCCTCAGTAAATTAGTGTTCGAGCTTAAGAAGCATCCCCGATACACTTGTTTTGGTTATCTCTCGACGATTGGGGGTTTTAAAGTCCCAAGGATGGCGAGCTCCTTGAAGGGATGGAGGGAGGGGTGGTTTTATGTTATAGCCCAAGAACCCGATCTTCCTTTCTGGCCTGATTGGGGAATCCCCGACGTCGAGAAGTTCTGTGAAGGCCAGGTGTATCCGGATGTTTTGGAAGAGCATAGGAGGATGCTGGTCGAGCTCAGCCCCCTTTTCTCGACGATGAAGGAGATTGGGGAAGAGGTTATAGACCTGGCAGATATTAGAGGCGTCGAGGGTAGGGATGTTTAATTATTATTATTTTTTGAAAAATACCCTGACCTTGTGCTCGTTCTAAAATGTTGATAAATTTTTGCAGGTATGTCTTTTGATCCTCGGGCCCTTCGGAATTTTGTAAGCTCAAGGGGGAATGCTCATCCACAGGGACAGCCCCCGAGGAAGAAAAGCAAGAAGAGGCCTCGAGGGACTCCTGAGGGTGCAAGGGGGCCTGGCGAAACTTCTCGAGCGGATCCACCAGTCTCGACCCCTCAGCAACCGAACCTCAGGTCTCCCACTCCTCGGGTCGTCACTCCTCGGCCTCCTTCTGAAGTGGTTGACCTCGAGGATGACCCGTCTCTCACCGGGGACTTTGAGATTTGCCACCTCGCTCCTGAGCTCGTAAACAAATACAAAGAGGAGGTCAAGCTCGAGGATGGGATGAGGGTCCTCGAGGGTCTTACAGTGAGGGTAATCTTCGAACTTTTGACTTTAGCCTCGAGTTTATTGGTCGAGCTTAACACTTGACATTTTCTTCATTTTTTCCAGATGTTGAGTATAGCTCGAGGACTCTCTCTGCAAGGGCTCGAGGAGGCTAAGAGGGCAGCTGGGGTCGAGACGTCCATGGCCTCTAAGGACAGCAGGATCCAAGACCTCGAGGCTCAGGTCGAGGTTTTATTGAAGGAGCGTGATGACGCGAGGAGGGAGGCTGCAAAGGCCAGGGATGACTTGGTTGCAGCAAAGGATGAGGTCGAGGGCGCGAGGCTCGAGCTCATCCAGAAGACAGAGGATTTCGGGCGCGAGCTCGAGGCTGTCAGGGAGAGGGCTTGGGAGGAGTTTAAAACCTCCGAGGACTGCGACAAGATAAAAGGGGAGTATGCGTCGGGGGCGTACTTCCATGCTCTGAAAGAAGCCCGGGCCTTCCTCAGGCAGAAATTGCCCGACGTCACTCCTGATGACCTGAAGATGGTGCCCTCCATTGCTGATACATTGGAGCTCTCGGGTTCGGAAGATGGAGGAGGATCTGGTGGAGATGATGAGGATGGTCTTGAGGACGACGTTGAGATCGACATCAGCAACCTCGATCCTCCTCTTGGCCACATTGGATGACTTCCCCACCCCGATCCTTTGTAATTTTTTGTTTAATTTCGACAATGTAGATTGATCGAGGACTATGTATGTTTAGTTAATTTATTCGAACTATTTATCTCGACCTCTTGGACTCCATACAATCGAGCAATCAAATTCGAAACTTACTGCTCACGCGATATTGAAGTGTTTACTCGAGGATTCCACAACTCGAGCGTATTTAAGGGATTAAAAGGTGAGACGTACATTCTTGAGCACAAAAATATGATGATGTGACATTCTCGAGGACTGTAAACCTCGAGAACAATTAGTCTTAAAAAATGAGGCCATTCTCGAGGACCGTAGTCCCGAGCACAACCAAACTTTAAAAAATGAGTGACATTCTCGAGGACTGTAATCCTCGAGCACAACTAAACTTTAAATTGTGACATTCTCGAGGACTGTAATCCTCGAGCACAACTAAACCTTAAAAAGTTGGGTTGTGATTTCCTCGAGGACGGTGATCCTCGAGCACACTAACTTTAAAAGGTTGTAATGTGAGATTCTCAAGGGTGTCCAAAATAATGTGGGATTTTTGTATTTCCCTGGGCGATACTTTAATGGTTTACACTTGAGTATATGATCAAGGCCTTTTGTGCTTGCGTAGGGCAAGGCTTTGGTGCTTGCTTGAGGCAAGGCTTTTTGATGTGCTTGCCAGGGGCAAGGCTTTTTGAGTGCTTGCCTGGGGCAAGGCTTTTTGAGTGCTTGCAAGGCTTTTTAATGTGCTTGCCTGGGGCAAGGCTTTTTGAGTGCTTGCCTGGGGCAAGGCTTTTTATTGGCTTGTCAAAGACAAGGCTTGAAGGGGCTTGCTTGAGGGCAAGGCTTAAATTGGCTTACTCGAGGGCAATACTTTTATTGGCTTGTCAAAGACAAGGCTTAAAAGGGCTTGCTTGAGGGCAAGACTTATATTGGCTTGTCAAAGACAAGGCTTGGAGGGGCTGTTATACCCGATGTTTAGATTTATTGATTGTTTGGACTGGACTTGGATTTATATTGCATCCAAGCTGCCTACGTATCCAAACGGAATCAAGTCGAACGTAGTTCATTACAAAAGAGAACGGAAAACATGCATGGGCACGCAAGCCCGCTAAACTAGAAATAAAATGCAGAAAAAGAAAATCTCCTTAAAGGCGTCGGGAATTTTACTTGTAATATATTTTCAGATTGTTGGCATTCCAGGGCCTCGGAAGAGATCTACCCGAAGTGTCTCTTAGGCTGTATGCTCCCTTGCGAACCTGCCGTATGACCTCAAAGGGCCCTTCCCAGACGGGCCCGAGCTTCCCTGGGGGGTGGCCTGCTGCTTCTGCCCTCCTAAAGACCAAATCGCCAGCTCTGAACCTCCGACCCTTGACTTTGCGATTAAAATGTTTTGCTGTCTTTGCTTGGTAAGAGGCCACTTTTATAGCGGCTTGCTCCCGTACTTCTTCCAAGAGATCAAGATGTTCAGTTGTATGCTCTGAGGTTTCTGGCACGAGCCTCCTATGGCTTGGCAGTCTAATTTCCACTGGGACCATTGCTTCAATGCCATAAGCTAACATAAAAGGGGTTTCTCCTGTGGTTGTCCTATGAGTTGTTCTATACATCCAAAGTATAGAAGGCAGCTCGTCGGACCAAGAACCCCTAGCATCGCTTATTCTTGTTCGGAGGTCTTGCAATATGATTCGATTTGTTACCTCGGCCAGACCGTTGCTCTGAGGATGCGAAACTGATGTCAGACGGTGATCAATTCCAAGGTTTGAGCAAAAGTTTCTAAACTGTTGGTTGTCAAATTGCCTGCCATTGTCGGTGATGAGGACCTTTGGTATCCCAAACCTGCAAATGATAGACCTCCAAGTGAAGGCTCTTAGCTTGGGCTCCGATATTGTGGCGAGAGGTTCGGCCTCTACCCATTTTGTGAAGTACTCTACTGCTACAGCAACAAACTTTA